ATCATAGGCCGGCCCAGTGTATAGCAGTGCGCTCCCAGAGTTTTTCCGGGCAATGGGCGGCGACTGCGCTCCCGGTGTTTTTAGAAGGACACCGGGCAATTCTGCAGGATTGACGGGGGGCAATCTTGCTGCCAGCGCAGGATTGATGAGGGCAATCCTGTTGCCAGCGCAGGATTGATGAGGGCAATCCTGTGCCGACGCCAGGATTGACGGCTGGGCGTGTGAATGGTGAAAAAACACTCTGTCAGCGATGCTGCGAGGACGGCATCGCTGACAGACCTTCGGCGCTGGCCCGGTGATGGGTTTTCGGGCAAAAGCGAAGTCGGAATTCCGACCTCGGTGGGAGACCGAAGTCGGAATTCCGACCTCGGTGTAGAGCAAAGTCGGAATTCCGACCTCGGGTGGTGCAGGCTCGGCGGCTGAAAGCTTCTATGCCGTATCGAAGCCTTCGATGCCGGGCAGAAATGTGATGCTCGAAACCACAAGTGGCACTTGTGTTTTCGAAGTGCCTCGGAACTGGAAACAGGCACCACCCATTTTTTGGGTGCTGCCCGCGTGGAGTTCCGCGTGGAGTTCCGCCGCAGACTGCGCGAACTGCGCAGCGACTGCAGCGACAGTGCGCCGCGCGAAAGCGCGAACACAGAACATAGCCTCTCTTTTTTTAGAGGGGGTTTCCCAAATGGATTCTATTCTACCTGAGAGGCTCCTGGCACTCGTCCGTCCAGGAAATGACCTCGTCCTGCGAAGGATTCGAAGTCTAAAACGGAGGACGTGTGGCTGCAAAATAATGACCCCTAGATATGCGGTTTGGCAAAATGCCCAGCAGCTGCCTTTGTTTGGTTGGCTTCTGGCTGGCTTGGCTTGGCTTCTGGTTGGCTTCTGGCTGGCTTTCTGGCTGGTTTTGGTTGGCTTCTGGCTGGCTTTCTGGCTGGTTTTGGTTGGCTTCTGGCTGGTTTTGGTTGGCTTCTGGCTGGCTTTCTGGCTGGTTTTGGTTGGCTTCTGGCTGGCTTTCTGGCTGGTTTGGCTTGGCTTCTGGCTGGCTTTCTGGCTGGCTTTGTGGCTGGTTTGGCTTGGCTTCTGGCTGGCTTTCTGGCTGGTTTGGCTTGGCTTGGCTTCTGGCTGGCTTTCTGGCTGGTTTGGCTTGGCTCCTGGCTGGCTTTCTGGCTGGTTTGGCTTGGCTTTCTTTTTTTTTCCCTGTTTTTTTAGCTCGCCTTGCAGAAACGCAGCTGCTGGGCATTTAGCATATCTAGGGGTCATTATTTTGCAGCCACACGCCTGCACGCAGCGTTTTAGACTTCGAATCCTTTGCAGGACGAGGTCATTTCCTGGACGGACGAGTGCCAGGAGCCTCTCAGGTAGAATAGAATCCATTTGGGAAACCCCCTCTAAAGAGAGAGCCTGTGACCCTGCCCTCAGCCGAGCTTGCGGGCGAGCTCCAGTTCCAGGCAGTCACGGAGCCTCCACCCAGCTTTGACCAGCTGGCGCAAGACATTGAGGCTGCTTAAAAAAAAAAACCTCCTCCTTGGGAAGAGTTTTTTTGCACGGCTTTGCGCTACAAATTGCTCTTACTCTCGTCCGTACAGGAGCACGGTTTTGCACGGTTTGCGCTTCAAAATGCTGTTAGCCTTGTCTGTATAAACACATACGCCTGGGCCAATAGCTCGTTTTGCACGTTTTTGCGCTGGAAAATGCTACTAGTCTAGTTTGACAGTGCACCAGGGCGGCTACGCGGACGTGCTGCGTCCCACCATGGTGGGCATTCTGCGGCGGCAAGTGCTGCCTGGACGGCGCGATGACGGACCTGTTCATCCACCTTCTCGTCACCGCCGGAATTCGAGCCCCGGCCCAGGGCGCTGCTGAGAGAGGCGCGCTACCGGGACCGTTTGTCATTTTTTCTGTGACAGATGTCATCGTTTCTGCGACAGATGTCATCGATTCTGTGACAGATCCATCGCTCTGTCCTCGGTTCTGCGTGTCTGCGGCACGCGTCGTCGTTTCAGCGACACAAGTCATTGATGTCCTCGTTTCTGTAACAGATGTCATCGTGTCATTGCCAGGAATCAAGCCCCGGGCCAGGGCGCTGCCAAGCTTGTCATTGTTTCTGTGACAGATCGTTTCTGTGACACACGTCACCGTTTCTGGAACACATGTTATCGTCAGAACCGAGGGTCGGGCCAGGCGCTGTTGAGAAAGGCGTGGTAACCGACTGAGCTACGGGGCCTTTGGGGTGACAAGACAGCCAGCCGAGCTTGTCATTGTTTCTACATGTCATCGTTTCTGTAACACCAGCAGCCTCTTTCAGAACTCTGATGTAAAATGACTACCCCAAGTTCAAATTTGCAACGCCTCAATGTTAAAAAATTAAATCAACACGCCGGTTGCTGCAAAGGAAGCCGGCACTTCGCGCAAAAACACTCCTGAAAAACATGTTTGAAGGCCAGTCAACCGGTTTCTCGCTGTAACAGTCGCCGCACAGCGCCTGCGGAGTCCACACGCTGCCCGCAAAGGCCTCCGGGTCAGCTTGCAGGTGCCGGCCGTCAGCCGACAGCGCAACTTGCCGCCAAGCTGTCGGAGAAGCACAAGGTGCTGCAGAGGTGGCAAGGCGCTGGAGAGGCCAGCGGCTGGCCGGACTGGGCACGAGATCTTCCGAAGCTGCTGAAAACAAGAGATGCCCGGCGCGGCGGATGCTCCACCTTAGCCGAAGCCCGCAGTCTGCGCCGGCTATGAGCTGGCGCCAGAGAGACGCTTTGCTGGTTGGCGTGACGCAGTGCGCAACTGGCTGGCCAACGCTCCCTTCTCCAGTGAGAGCTGCTGCACGCAAGACAGTCTCAATTTGTTGCCGTACGTGGAGCCGGCTGGTACTTAAGGTCTTGCCAGCCGCGATGCTGGACCTGGCGTCTGCCGCAACCACACCGTCTTGGACATCTTCGCGGAAGCCACGTTGGCACGGCGACGCTGCGGCGCGCGCTGGAGCGGATGGACTAAGGGCAAGAAGCACATGGCCAAGCTAGCGTAAACGCGATGATAGGCCTGTGGGCGCGCAGCACGGAGGTGGTCTACAGCGTGCGCAGCAGTAGCAGCGAGCTGGACATCCGAGCTGGGACTATACGACGTTTGCTGGGGCACTTCGACATGGTTTGAGACTCCGGGCTTGGCGGGGGCCCCGGCTGATGGAGAGACAGTAGACAGTCAATCACGCGAGCTGCCTACAGCGCTGCGACAAGGTTGCGCGTGCGGCCACGACAGAGCTTGCGGAGCTGAGCATTCCAGACGGAGTCTTCAAGCTTCCAAACCGAGGGGCCGGAAGAAGCCCATTTTTCCAGTTTTTGCGTTTTTTTTTTGCGTGTCCCTCAACGCCAAAAAAAGACTAAGAGGGACACCGGGCCTTTTTTTGTCATTTGGCGGTGTCACTTAACTTCGAAAACGAAGAAGAGAGACACCGGACCTTTTTTTTGTTATTTTTGGCGCTACTGGCCCAAAAACGGCGTTGAAGGGCATCGGACTTTTTTTTTGTCATTTTTAAGTTTAGCACAGAGACGCCTGTGCCGGAGCGTCACCGCTGGTAGGCCTCTCAGCTGCACCGCCCGGCTTTACTCAGGCGTGTAAGCCCGCAGAGCCGCTCTCAAGCGAAAAAACGAGGCTTTCAGAAGTGGCAGAAATTTGCATTTTTTTGCCCTTTTTTCCACCCCGCGGAAGCCGATGACAAGCGGTGACATCCCAATGACAAGCGATGACATTGGCCCAAAAAATGCCTATTATGCCTCCTTTTCGGGCCAAAACCGGATGTTTTTACGCTACTATAAGCCTATGTTCCTTACTACTCTTCACAAGTCTTTTTGATGCTTCTGCAAGTGAACAAGTCAATCCGATGATCCCTGTAACAAGTCTGTTTGATCCCCAGCCCCTCACAGACTTCGTCCATATATATTTCTATCTTGCCGCATGCAAAAACAATTGACTTACTTCACTTCTTCACTCCGTATCTTTAATTGAAACGCTCGGCCCAAGATCTTTTCAAACGGGGGTGCGTGCATTGTCGATCGCGTCTCAAAGTGATGCTTCTGCAAAGAAAACCCAACAGGCCACAGACCCCCCTTTCAATGGCTACATTCATAGCGACTGCACAACAAGATCCGAGTCCACAACAATTCGACTCGATTCTGGCAAAATAGGATCCGCAAAATTCCGCGAAGGGCATTAGCAACATTTCCAAGCGATGGCACTCTGGCATACCAAGAAAAGATGCACATGCATTCTTCTTGCCTAGAAATTGCAGTTACAATCTTGGATGGTGGCACTCCTTGAGTAGCCTTTGAGGATCGAGAATCGAGCACCCTCGTTATCAATAAAGAAGACGGTCTGTTGGGCCACAAGCCGGTCATGCGCGTGTTGTGCCACAAGCACAGCAAGAGCCTCAAGCGCACCTATCAAGTGGCGCTGCCTTCAACAACCAGCAAAACAAGAGCCGGCTTCACAGTGTCTGCAGTAATTGCAACAGGGCCCATGTCAAGCTGTAGGTGCCCAAATCCTGAATGAGCTTCCGACATGTGCGTCCAAAGAGCTGCACTGGCAAACTCCAGGCGACCTTTCAAGGTGTTTTTTTTGTGAAAGACCCTTTTACTGGCGCGATGAGAGCAAAATAGGAGCGCCCCGCTTATCAGTTTTGCAAAGCTTCACGAATTGTTGGTTGACAATAAGTAAAGGGGAGGACGTCGTGCGACCATTTGGCACTTTCTCAATCCAACGTTTCAAGCGAGTCCCGTCCGCGTACTCCGCGGTAGGCTCGCAAGATGTGGTGTGAGGCTGGCTACTGTTCCGGGGGCAAACGCGACCGCCGAATGAGGACACGTTTGCATTTTGCTCTATGCCACCAATGTCTCGCATGCTTGCCGGATGCTTGCACAAATTCTTTTTCTTTTGAGATTATGCAGCTGTTTCCACAGTCAAATGCAGTTGATAGCATTTCAGATGCTTGACTTTATCCGCGCAGCTTTTCACACGTCCATTTGCGTAGTTTGCACCTTGGCATGTCTTCAATCATAGTCGCTTGATATTCGTCAGCACTTTCCGCAGCCATGGCGTCACGCAAACGTGCATGCTCACTGGCAGCAGCTTTGGCGGCATGATATTGGTTTTCATTATTTTTTTCTTCTGACGACTGACAACAAATATTCTGTACCATTGCATGATTGAGCTTCCGTTTTGGGAGAACAAACACATGCGAGCCACTTGATACTGAGTGCAAAAATGCATGTTTGGATTTTGCGAAGCTGGGACGAGCCAAGGTACTTCTCACCTTTCTTTCGGTTCGGCTTTGCTTCCTGCCGCCGAATGTCTCTAGTCTAAATATGTTTACTTGAACAGCAATCTCCAACTGTAGAGCCTCCGGCTCAGTCCGCCGACAAATGTCCCCTGCATGTGCCGCTCATTTCCCCTTCATTCTCCCTTTTTCTCTTCTTTTCCCTTCATGTCCCCTCTGCAACTCCCCCTTCATTTATCCTTCATTTATCCTTCTGTTGCCTTTCATGTCCTTTTCATTTTCCCTTCATCTCCCCTTCATTTCTGGTTCCCCCTCATTGCTCTTCATTCCCCTTCATTTCCCTTCATTTCTTTTCATTTCCCTTTCATTTCTCTTCATTTCCCTTCATTGTCTCCATTTCCCTTCATTCCCTTTCATTTCCCGTCCATGTCCCCTTCATGTCCTTTCAGTTGACCCCGAGTTTCCCTTGTTTCCCTTCATTTCCCCTTTGGTTCCCTTTCAATTTAGTTTTTTTGTCCGCTTCTGGTTTCTTGGCTTTTTGGCTTCTTGGCTTCTTGGCTTGTTGGCTTTTGAGCTTCTTGGCTTGAGGGCGTTCCTCGTGTTCTTTAAATTTTGGTTTTTGCATGTATGCATGTATGTATGTAATCTATGTAATCGACGTATGTATGCTGCCGCTACTTTTTAGATTTTTTTACATATATTTTATTGCACCCCTACTTGAATCATTTCCAAATTAATCATCACTTTTTACAAACATCATAGGGGTCGGCTGCTCCCCCCCGCCCCAACCCCCCCACTACTTTTTGGATCTTCAAAGAGATTTAAATGCACCCCTATTTGAATCATCACTTCTTCGAAAATCATGGGGGGGCCGCCGCCGCTCATCACTTTTTCGACCCCGTCAACCCGCCGGCTACTTTTTAGATTTGTTTGCCCACGATTTGCTGGTGATGCTTGTGATGTTGAGAGAGACCCAGAGCGGGAGAGAGACCCAGAGCGGGAGAGAGACCCAGAGCGGGAGAGAGACCCAGAGCGGGAGAGAGACCCCCAGCAGGAGAGAGGAGAGAGACCCCCAGCGGGAGAGAGACCGCGCGAGAGAGACCCCCAGCGGCAGAGCGGGAGAGAGACCACCAGCGGGAGAGAGACCCGCAGCGGATGTTGAAAACGATGCTGGGGATGTTGACGGGCTAGTGTAAAATACATAAATTTTGTGAGAGAATAAAACACGAAACAAAACAAGACACGAAATAAAACAACATAATACTGCACCCATGTAATTTGCCCTGAATTTCCCTCCACGTCCCTTCATTGCTCTCTACTTTACAGCCTCCGGCTCAGTCCGCCGACATTGTCCTCTCCCTTTTTTCCTTCTGCCTCTCTCCCTTGTCTCCCTTGTGTGTTCTGTCGTCCTCTCTCCCTCCCTCTGCTCCCCATCCTCCCCATCCCCCCAAGCCTCTCTATGCCCAATCTCCCTCTCTGGTATGTATGTATGCATATATATATATATATGTGTGTGTTGTCTGTCTGTCTGTCTGTCTGTCTGTCTGTCTGTCTGTCTGTCTGTCTGTCTGTCTGTCTGTCTGTCTGTCTGTCTGTCTGTCTGTCTGTCTGTCTGTCTGTATGTATGTATGTATGTATGTATGTATGTATGTATGTATGTATGTATGTATGTATGTATGTATGTATGTATGTATGTATGTATGTATGTATGTATGTATGTATGTATGTATGTATGTATGTATGTATGTATGTATGTATGTATGTATGTATGTATGTATGTATGTATGTATGTATGTATGTATGTATGTATGTATGTATGTATGTATGTATGTATGTATGTATGTATGTATGTATGTATGTATGTATGTATGTATGTATGTATGTATGTATGTATGTATGTATGTATGTATGTATGTATGTATGTATGTATGTATGTATGTATGTATGTATGTATGTATGTATGTATGTATGTATGTATGTATGTATGTATGTATGTATGTATGTATGTATGTATGTATGTATGTATGTATGTATGTATGTATGTATGTATGTATGTATGTATGTATGTATGTATGTATGTATGTATGTATGTATGTATGTATGTATGTATGTATGTATGTATGTATGTATGTATGTATGTATGTATGTATGTATGTATGTATGTAATGTATGTAATGTATGTATGTATGTATGTATGTATGTATGTATGTATGTATGTATGTATGTATGTATGTATGTATGTATGTATGTATGTATGTATGTATGTATGTATGTATGTATGTATGTATGTATGTATGTATGTATGTATGTATGTATGTATGTAATGGAATGTAAGGAATGTAATGAATGTAATGTATGAAATGAATGCAATGGATGAATGTATGAAAGACGTCCAAAAACATGGAGTTTGTCCAGATTTTTGGCAAAAGGATGTAGGAAGCCCAAGCCAGCAAAAAAGCCGGCAGGGGGAATCGAGCCTGGGACCCCTGTTTTGCGACACCGGCTCCCCGAAGACTACGTTTAGTGGAACGTCATCAAATTGCCGCGCGGTACGCGGGGGAGGGGGGGGGGGGTGGCGACCGAAAAACCATGCGTATTTGACGTGTCCCGGGGGGGGACTAAGGGGGGGGTTATCCTCTATCCTCTCTTAGGTATCCAATAGTCCTCTCTTAGGTATCCGACACGCCGAGCAATGTCGGCGGATTTCCCTTCATGGTCCCTACATCCTCTTTCATTTCCTCTTCATTTCCTTTCATTTCATTTCCGCGTCATGTCCTCTTCATGTTCCATGAATTTCCCATGCATGTCCTATTCATTTCACCTTGTGTCCCTTTCATGTACGCGTACCCTTTATTTGCCTTCATTTCCACCTCATTGCTCTTCATTGCCCTTCATTCCCCCTTCATGTCCCTCTTCATTTCCCCCTCATTGCTCCGTTTCCCTTCATGTCCCTTTCATTTCCCTTCATTCCCTTGGAGGCAGAAGACGCGAGCCGGCAAAGAGCAGGCAGCAGCGAGCTTGCGACACCTGTGTTTCCCTCCCCGAAGATTATTTTGAAACATCATCAAATTACCGCGCGGCACCCTACGTATCAGACATGTCCCAAGGCGGGCATTTGGGGGGGGGGGTTACTTTTGGGTGTCCGACACGCCGCACAATGTCGGCGGACTTGACGTGTTTGACAAAACATTGCCTCATACTGCAGGTGGCCAAGCCGATCGAGCGACGCATAGCACCACGCAGGCAGATTCTTTGCCTCAGCGCAAAAGTGCATGTTTGGCCACCAGCTAACATGGAAGTGCACAGACCCCTGTAGAAAGACTACTTTCCTCTTGGAAAGGGCCTTTTTGCACTTTCATGTTAGTTGGTGGGAGGGTGTACATGTTGGTGGCGATGCAATCAGCAATCAGCGCGTCATCCATCAACACAACCTGCGCAGACAGGACTGAAGTTGTGCCGCAGAAAGGTAATCGTTTCTGAATTCAGAGGACTTGCTCCTCAGGGGCCAATGGGTTTGAGATGTAATCTGGGATCGTGGGTTCTTACGTATGATGCTTGTGTTGTCTCTTTCAGAGAAAGACAGGTTAGATGTCCTTGCTTGCGAGTGCATACTATACACCCAACAACGACGGCGAATCCCAACTTCCGAAATGATTAGTCTGAAAGAAAACCATTTGCTGCACGAGTGGCAGGCAAGCTGCTGCTGTTCTGCCGGATCCTCAGTGCGTGCATCACTCGAAGCAGACAGAGATTCAATGTGCATCCAGGCTACTGGGTGCAGCTCCTGCTGAAGCCATGCCAAGCCTTGCAGAGACTGGGACGCAGAAGTCCTTTGGTTCCGGCTGCAGCGTTCCAAGTATCCCGTTGATGGACAACCTGGCCATAGGATGAGAAGAGCGATGCTTCGGATTTCGATCGTTTGGGCTCCATGCTGGAGACAAAGTGGGCCGCTGGGCTGCAATAGTATATTTGGGAAGGAGATGCGGAGACTTGGATCATGTACACCACGGGTTATTCTTGAGACGTTTAAGCAGCCGCTGACAAAGCTTACAGTTTGTCAAGGTTGCTCAGAGCTTGCACATGTATCACATAGAATGGATTACATCCATATTGTCTGACAGAAGGAAATGCACAGACACCCAAGTGCTTGGCTTCGAATCCTTGTAAAGGAATGCCTCGTCGAAAGATCGATTCCTAAGGAGAAGGTGAAGCCGCGCTGCACCAGCGTCGGCAGCATGGGTGCCAAAGGGTTGAAGGTCTGAGGCAGAGAGGCAAAAGAGAGGATGTGAATCAAAAGCGACAGCTGTCACTCGAAACATACCTGGCAGCACCCTCCAATCAGTGCCTTTTTTTTCAGTGTCACACAATGTTGAGACCTTCATGCAGCAGGCCAACTGGGTCACTGCTGGCACTTGCGTCAGGCATCAAAGCTGGCTATGGCGTCAGCAAGAAGCAGCAACTGGAGAGCATCGCCGCTTGTAAGCACTGGTCCATATCACTGGCAGCCCGTGGCATTCACATGAGTGATGTTGTGTTCCTCCGCAACTGGTTTTTCACATTGTCAATCCTTGCTCTAGGTCCGCTGTGATGAGGAGAAGGGCGAGTCTGAGGGCAAGGAGCCAAAGGATTGATTTGCGACCAAAAAGGCGAGTTGATGATGGGAGCCTGCTGTGATTCGAGCGAGCTGGGCCTGTGCATGCTCATTGTGTGACTTCTGAGTCCGAGTCTTTGCCTGCCGCGCAGCCCGTGTTCAAGCTCATACCTTTTGTTTTCATGTGAAGCTAGTATGTCTTGTCCCAACGGAGCTATTTTCAAAGGCATTTTGTTGTTCTCAGATTCCCACCGTGGTTGACGGGCACCTAACATGCATTCCGAATACATATAGCAAAGCAAGTTGTCGCATATAATGATTGCAGACAATCAGTTGCATTGTTGAGATGTTTTTAAGTCCTCCCAATTTCGCAAATTTTATGGGTGGTTGGTAGTTGAAGAGTTTAGCCCCACGAGCCTATGCTCTTCTTCTGTTGGGACCAGTTCTGAAATTTGAACCCATGGCAGAGCAAAGCGAAGGCGAGTCGGAAGCTATCTCCGACAGAGGTGATGCAGATCAAGAAGATCAATAATATCAAGATGAGGACCAAGATCATTTGGCTTCTGCTGGGGCCGTTCCACGTTCGGACGCCGATAACTTGCAAGGACTAGACAGCCTAGGCATCACAGCGGATCTGCCAGATACAGCGTCTGAAGGAATGTCCGACACAAGTGAAACGCGAGAGGATCTGACCATTGGGTCTGCACAATCATTGCCTAGCGGCAGATTCTGGCTCCGGAAAAGTTTGGCACACTCAGGCCTTCAGGCCTTATTGAGAGTTTCAGCGCATGATGGTGTACTGGGCTCAAGGCATTTCATTCAGGGCCTAATCCGTGCTTGTAAGTGCCACGTGAAGGTTACAGACGACCTAAGTTTTGCAGAGGTATTTGGAACAAATCCCCAGGCCGCGGCAGACGCGGAACGCATTCTTGGTTTATCAGCTGCTGACTTGGAAGCTGCCGTCAATTGGAGGAACAACGAAGCCATGCCGGAAGACCATGAGGAGCAAGAGAGCCCGGAAAGTATTCAAGTGAGCTGGTTTGCTCATCAGTCACACCGGAGTTTTGTCCATTCCACTGCCAGGCCTTCCTTCATGAGCGTTCCCCCAGCTCGGTCTTTTCGTCCAAGTCTCCTGTCTTGGGCTTTCCAACACCGCCTTGACCCTGTACAATCTGCAGCCATTGCATGTGTCGAGCAACATGAGTCCGTGCTGCTTAGCGCACCTACGTCGGCCGGGAAAACTGCTGTTGCAACGTATGCTGTCGCGATGGCTTTGCATTCAAGAAAGAGGGCCATCTACACAACTCCGATCAAAGCGCTATCAAACCAAAAGTTTATGTAGTTGGGAAACGCATTTGGCAGGCAGTTTGTTGGCATAATGACAGGTGACACGGTGGTTGCAAGCGATGCTCCCATCGTAGTGATGACACTGGAGATTCTACAAAGCATGCTTTACAAACAGGCAAGGGATCCAAACCTTCTGGATGACTTTGCTTGCGTTGTCATTGATGAGGCTCATTTTCTGGGAGACATCGACAGAGGGTATGCGTGGGAGGAAGTGCTTGCCCTTTTACCCCTGCATATCAAGCTTGTGCTTTTGTCAGCGACTGTGCCCAATGCTGATACAATTGCGGAATGATGTTCACGAGTTCGAACCGAGCCTATGCATGTTATCACGAGCCAGCAGCGTCCTGCCACTTGATCAAATTGGCATGACAAAAGTTGTTCTTTTTGTGGTTTTCGACTATGTCAACGACCTCCCAACCCAGAGCTGGAATGCTCTTCGCCGTCGAGCTTCATTTTTGCACCAAGGTTCCGCTCTCGCATGACATCTTCCGATGTGGGCCGCCGGATTTCTTTGGACCACGACGTTCATTCTTCAGCATCATGTCCCCGCCCTCGAATCGCTTCAAGCCCTGAAATTTACATGAAGCAATTCGGCAGAGAGGAGTCGTCCTCGAAAGTCAAGCGGCGTGGCGCTGCCCGCAACGCCTGCTCCCGCACTTCATTGGGCGCCAGGGCCAGAACATCCGACAACTCACAGCCGGCTTAGGCGCAAGTGTCCGAGTCGTAGATGGGGTTATTGAAGTAAGAGCCTCAGACACAGATGCTGAAAGGGAGGCAACGCTGAGAATTGCTAGATGGCTCATGGACTATGGCGTCCCTGAGAGATCAGCAAAGCCACCAGAGACTTCAAGTGATCCATTGTCTTTGCAAGTTGAAGATTTGGAGCGATTGCTGTCGCTACTGTGGTACAGGAAACAGCTTTGACAAGCGAGTTTGTGAGCGAGTTGCACTCCTGTTGGCTGGGGCCAAGCGAATGGATTTTTCCAGCAATGCGCAGAAGAGGCAGATTCGCGCACGACTTCAGGCCGGCCTTGCTCTTTTGGATGAAAGGGATAAGCAACTGGCGCAAGTGAAGAATTCCTGCGATCTACTCGTACGTGGGATTGGGGTTCACCATGGCGGCATGCCAGGATCTCAGTCCATGTCATTTTTGTGTGTCACAGCCAAGTCATCAAGTGTGGAATGGAGTGGATCAATACATTGACATGTTCGGCTGGTTAGGCTCGCGAACTGCCTGTGTGTTGGCGAATGTGGAGTGGCATTGCTTTGTAAATGCTTGCAGTAGTTTTCAATTTGGTCGGTTGGGAACGAAACGGAGATAGGCCTCACATGAAATCTGTCGGTGACGCTTTGCATCCCACTGTGCAAGGCTACAACTTCTTCGTGAAATGGTCGAGTTGCTTTTTGCAGATGGTTTACTTTCCGTCATCTTCGCGACAGAGACCTTTGCAGTTGGCTTGAATATGCCTGCCAAATCTGTCATCTTCACAGATGTTGTGAAATTCGATGGGCGGATTCGCCGTGCACTGAACAGTGGGGAGTTTCGGCAGATGTCTGGGAGAGCAGGCCGGCGTGGGTTGGATTTGAGAGGCCATGTTTATGTCATGCTACATAGCGCCAAGATCCTGCGTGAACCCACCGCAACCGTACTTGAACAACTATACACCGAAGAACCGGCTGAGGTGAGGAGCTGCTATCGTGTGCGGTGGTCTTATTTGCTTCACTTGATTTCAGCTGGCCCAGCGCATCTTTATACCATGCTTGGCAGAAGCCTACAGAGGCTCACAGACCCATATGCTTCCAGCAAACTACAGCAAGAGGCAACTCGAATGGTGAAAGTCTTGCAAGAACTCGATTTTGTTGACGAGTCAGGCGCAACATTGCCCAAAGGGACATTGGCTTGCCATTTGTTCGTGCCAGAAGACGCACTGCTAGTGGCAAACGTCCTCATTGCTCTCCGTGGCTTTGCGGGGCTTTCCGCTGCACAGTCCTTCGCGATTTGCGCTTCCTTTGTTGCGGAGGGGGCTATCGCTGAGCGCTGGAAGATTTCAGACGGGAGTGTGCGGGAAGGTGTGAGAACTTGCAACAGAGTGGCCGAAGAGTTGGCAGTTACCCTCCACTCACACAGCGTTCCATGCTGCAACAAATGCGGGCTCTTGACCCAGTCACGCTGTGACGGTTCGGTGATGGTCAAGACGCGTGTGAATCCAAAGCTGTGTGAAACGGCCTTCCAGTGGGCGTCAGGGCAAGATTTCACCTCGGCAGTGCTCAGCAGCGGGGTGGCCATTGGGGGCGAAGGCATCGTTGCTCGAGCACTGCGACGCTTAGACGAACTCATGCGCGAGGTCACCTTCGTGTTGAGACATGATTTGGGTTCGCCTGAGGCGGCTCAGCGTATTCAGGAAGCGCGGCTACTGGCAAGAAGAGGTGTATTGGCTGCGCCCTCGGCCTATTTGGGTGCTACAGAAGACAGAGTTGCAGAGGAGATCGAACCAGAACCACCTTGGCCACGTCAAAGTTTCGCAACAGGTTACGAAGGATGCTTAGATCCACTGGACATAGGATTTAGCCAACAATCTTGTGCGGCCAACTTTCCGCAATCTCCTGTGCCGCATGGCCCAGAAAGTGTTTTAGACTTTGCAAAGGCACTGAAAGATGGAAGCGTTCTGCCAGCACATGTGAAGCCGATAGAAATCTATTGGTTTCGCCACCGCTTCTATTCTCTGGACAACCGGCGACTTGCAGCTTTCAGGCTTTGGCGTCTTTCTGAAGAAGATGCAAGGGTGCCAGTTAAAGTTCTCAATCGCAGCCAAGCTTTGAACAAACATTGGCTCAAGAAGTTTTCTACAGGCTTCACCGGAGGCAGGAAGATTCGAATCACCGGAAGCGATCACTTTGTCGGAGTTACCCGTGAGCAGTCCACCTTCGGCAGCAGCTTGTGGAGCTGAAATTCATGAGAAAAAGCCTGGCAGGCTTTTGTGCAAATGATGTTTTGATGTGATATTGTGCCGGGCTTCTGGGAACATACTTTTTGGACCATGATCCCATGTTCTCCCTACTTGTGATCATGATACATATTTGTATATATATATACATACATATACATACATGAATACCCATCTGCTTTAGCTGGCAACCTATTTGTATGGCGTACCTAATGGCACATCTGCATTACGGAAGACAATGGCTAACCACACCCATACGTACATGTATATATATATATATATATGTATACATGCATATATATATATATATACACGTGCATATATATATATATACATGGATGCAACCCCCGCGGTGGATCTACCTTTTGCTGTTTGAAGGCTATTTATGGAATGCAGTGATGTTGGTTGGAATGCCCCATGCGACTTGACCAGCATCAGCTCACCCCAAGCAAGGACATCTCTTGAAAAATCCAATTTGGAATAACAATTCCAATTACGTGTTTTTACTTGAAAAGGACATCCTATTTGTTATCTTTGAAATTTTAAATGTACCAGAATTATGTCCTGATTAGATTCCAGTTAATTCTAAATAGAAAGTGGAGAAACAATATCCCGGCAAAGGACGTTCGCTTCAAATACATATATATATATATATATATATATATTTGAAGTAAGAATCCCAATCAACAATGTTCTTCAAAATGGAAATCCTATTCAAGTCATTTTGAAGTCTAGCCATGATACTAGGTGTTGTTCACTTTTAGTCATGGAAAAAGACATCCTTTTGAACATCCAACTTGAAGTACGAATTCCAATCATTAAAGGCCGTGTTTTAAACAAAGCTATGTAAATTACTGGACATTATGTTAGAATTATGTCCCTATTAAATTCTATTGAACATATGCCGGAGAATCAACCCGTTTGAACATCCATTTCAAACAAGAGTTTTAATTACACATCTTGTTCAGCAAGGAATCCTATTTGAATTCTCTTCAAACTAGAAACTCTACTAGGGTTTGTTCCTTATTAAATTCTATTTCAATTCTAATTACACCACTGAACACACACAATCCTAGAAACATATCCCCATTGTTGATGTTTTAATCCTTATCGAATACTTTGAATTCCAAGCAAAAACACAGTTTAAAAGCAGAAACAGTGACCAACAAACATGTGTCCAATGAAATTCATTGACCAAGCACCTACAAGAAATAAGTTCGATACCTATAAACCTGAGCCAATAAATCTCAAACCCTACATGCTAAACCTGTCCATTCTAAGCTGAGGTTTTGGTCAGAAGATGCAACACAGCAGCTATGTTGGAGCCAACAGCCCAAAAGTAAAAGCGTAAAGTTCTGGAGCCAATGACGCGAAAATAAACAAAGAAAAAGCAACAATCTGGAGCCAATGGCTCAAAAGTGAAACAAATCAAATATCTGGAGCCAGACATAAAAGTCAATTTCTGGAGCCGATGACCAACTAGTAGAAAGTGAGCAAGTAAAGCAAACCAGGCCATGGACCTGAAGTAAAACTGTTGACCATGGACCGATTTGTTTTTCTCTTAAATAAGATTAATAATAACAATAATAATAATAATAATAATATTTTACTTTTGGGTCGTTGGCTCCATAATTATACTTCTTTACGTTTTAACTTTTGGGCCAATGGCTCCAATATGGCTGTTGTTGTTGCATCTTCGGAACCTCAGCTTAGAAATAGGACGAGGTAGATCAACACCGACTGGATTCAACATTCCCTGGAACAGCTTGGCCAAAAGCTTTCAGATTGTCTTTGGACATGCACCTTTAATTGTTGCTTTCCCCAAAACCCCAAAAGGGCGGGACACACTACACTACATACCAGTGAATTCTGAAGGAAGGTAGATCCATGGGGGGGGATACCATATGCATATATATATATAGCTATATATATATATATATATTTGTACTCACTTGACTTCCTTGCAAAGCTTTTTTGCTTTCACAATGTGGCCGGAATTCGGCCATCCAACGGCCTGCAAATCCAAGAACAACACATAAACAACAAGGAAACAAACACCTTGTGAGCATATGGGCGGGGGGTAGGTGGGCAAAAACCTACTAACTATGCGTGGAAAGACACAAACAAAAAAAACAAAACCTCCTCACGGCTAAGTTTTGATTTTGCCAAACGTTTTGTTTTTCCATTTTCTCGCTTTATCACTCCAACCAACCAAACAAATATTTGATTCTTTTTGTTTTTTGGCGAGTGCCAGCAAGAAGAAACTAAAACGTACTTGTTGTTTTTGGTTCTCTCCTAAGACAAAACAGCAAACAAACAACACCTCGAGTTTTGGGCCCCATACCGGATTCAAGATTCAAGATCTTCGTGAATGTTTGATCACAAAGCGCTTTGAAGCGTCTGCTTTCAGCCATTCCTGTTTGGGTGTGCACCTTGTTATCCTTTTAGACTTGTGGGCGGTAAATACAGTTGCTGGTTCAGCAAAGGGACATCGGAGAATTATTTGTTTTTGGAATTTGCAATGTGTGCTGGGCAGGACACTGCGCATTTGTGGCGGGCGCAGCCATTGGAACCAGACAGCCCAAACGGGTGGGCCATGCGCCGAGCCACCTGGATGGCAGCAGCCGCGTTCGCAGGTCGGCAGCCATACAAGCCTCCCCGCGTTGGCATTGTTCCTCCACTCCGCCAAAGTGCAAGCAGACACGTGCCCGTCACAGAAGAGGGATTCAAGGGGCGGCTGAGCAATTCACGCTTGGTGACGTACTTTGATGACCAGGTCCTCAAGTACAACGAAGCTATGCTTATAAGTACTGGAGCTCTTGCTGCTGCCAGCACGGCCGCCTCATTCCTGCGCAAGCAGGGCCAGTGGGAGCCTTAGTCACATGCAGCGGATAGACTTGTCCCAAGCTCAACAAAGGTGTCGCTGAATCCTGAACCAATCTTCTGAGCTGGCGGCAAGCAGCACAAGTGGAGGAGAACACTTTCATTTTGGTCCATACATGTACACACAAACATAATATATATATATATATATAGACCAGTGACCAGGCACCCCTCTATGATCACATTCTGAGGCCACCAAAAGAGCGGCGCACAATCAACCTCATGCATTGAAGCCATAATCAGCGACCACTGCATGTGATGGAAGCGCTGTTGCACGGCCTGGCAAGAATCTGGCACATGACGCTTGATATATTTAGGCGAGTGTTGCTGAAGTTGTTGGAGCTTTCGTCCTGCGACAAATGTGAACATTATTTGATTTTGGCAGCCTCACATCCACCGTTTTATATCATTTTGTGAGTATTGATATCTACAGCAGCTGCCGACGCTCTTTGCACAGCAGAGACCCACAATCCAACGCCAGCAGCATCACCAGAGACCAAAGCCGATGCTGGGGATGCCGAGTTTCTCGTCCTCACGCTTCGACACGTGCTGGGGTTTTAAAACATGTGGGGGATGCTTTTGGGCAACAGCATGGATCCGTTTTTGCTGGCGAACATCGCCCAAAGCAACGACGAGCTAAAGCTGCCCAGCTTCGCAAACTGAACAGAAGAGAGACATTCACCGGCCAAGATGCTGGAGCTGCCTCGAAAGCCTTCAGCTAGGGTTTTAGAGGAAGACGTCCTCTAACAGAAGGAGCCCCTAGCGTGTTGCCTTTACAGAAGAATAGCTGACAGGGCATCTCCAACAAGCGTCCAAGCATTGCGACTAAGCGTGACCGACTAAGGACGTGGTTCTATGCTGTGGCGAGCTGTTTGTGTGCCCTGATCATCCACCGATGGGCTGGCTGTGCAGATGCGTTGCCTCCAACTTTGTCGGAGTCGACTGCTACCTTATTGGTGAATCTGCTTCACTCAATTCGCACGGTGACAGTTCCTCAGACTGATGGCATGTTCTGCAAATTCACTTTTCAACTCATTGAAGCGTTTAACTTTGCTTGCTGCTGCCATATACTGCGAGTGAACAATGAAAGCTGTTATTCCACTACATACAGTGACTGTGGGGTTTTCCCGGGTACTGATGATCGATTTCATTTTTTTACGGCACTGTTACACCTGGGTGACACCAATGCAACCTGTGCTGTCGAGTGCAGATCAAAAAGTATATTTGTGTAAATCATGACCCAAGTGACTTTCCTGAAGATGTGGCGGAACATACCAAATCAAGCTAGGCCAGTGTCGCCACTCCAGTTGTGTTGTTCTGCAGTCTAGTAGCTTGACAGTGTTCAACTAAGCTAATGAGACATTCTGTATCTAGTGGATTCAGAACAAAATTGACGGACCAGAGTGAGCGTTTCTCTTGTCAATTTGCACGCTGAATTCGAGGTTTGGAAATGGAGGGCCTTTTTCCTCTCGTTTGTTGTGCAAAATTGTTCCTCTCTCTCTTTTCCTCTCAATTCCTCTCCTGTTGTGTTTCCTTTTGCCCGCCTTTTGCGGGCATCACGAAACTCGCCCGAAACCCACCCAAACTCCAACCCTAGGCCCACCCTAAAACCCGCCCTAAAGAACCTAAACGCACTCTAAGCCCACCGAAACCAACTTTAAAGCAATGACACCAGCTCTTAGCAAACTCTAAGGCAATCCAATCGCACCCGTAAGTCCACCCTAAACCATCCCTAAACCACCCGAAGCCCACACCTGCCCTAGACCACCCCAAGCCAGCATGCCAAACCTACCCCCGGAGGAAACGCACACACACACACAAACGGAATTGAATGCTGACAATCGTGCAGCTTGCTGTTGGATGTCAATTGCCGTGGCTACATTCCTTCTGTCCACATTTTGCTTTGTTTCTGTGCGAGCTGGAATAGCTGGTCTTGTTGAGAGTTGCTTTGTGCATTGGCAGCTCATTGCCCGCGACAAGGTCTTCCTCTTAGGCTTCTTCCTCTCTGCATGCTTAAACCGCTGGTGGGCCATGCGCAACGATGGGATCGGAAGCCTTTGGGGTTCCATGAACGACTTGTCTCTGCTTGTGGCAAGCTATTTTCCCCGGGATGACCCAGAGGACGGCCTGGTCAGGGAACGACTTCTTCGCTGGTCAGTTCTGTCACACGAGCTCATGTACAAGCAGGCCATGGGAGACGAGAATTTGGATGATTTGGTGCAATGTGGACTGCTTGAACAGGATGAGCAGCAAGTCCTGCAGCCTTTGCCGTCCAAAGGGCAAGTGGTTTGGGCATGGGCCTCTTCGTACATTGCACATTTGGCTGCGGGGCCAGTTGACCAGGGCGGCAGCCGGCTTCCTTTCCCTGTCACGACAATGCCAGCTATGCAGCGGCTTTGTTGCCAAGCACGTGGTGCAATCGGAGCAACTCTATCTTATGTGGACACGCAAGTTCCCTTTCGCTATATGCATGCGTTAGGACTTGTTGTGGCAATGCACAATATCATGCAAGCTATCACGTCCACGGTTGTCATCGCCCGCGCTCTCTGCAAGCAAAACTATATCACGGCAAGTGTTGAAGTACTTTGTGTCGTGTTCTTCCCCACAGTGTTTGCAGGTTTGCTTAATGTGGGGGCTGGGATGCTGAATCCTCTTCGCTCCTGCTCTGACACAGATTTCCCCCGTGGAGCATTTTCGTACTTCATGCTCTCCGAAAACCGTGGTTTTCATCAAGGGTGCTTGCAGCTGCAGAACAAATGGTTCAGTGGCAGCCCCAGCAACAAGGTGGCTTCGAGCAGCTGTGGCAATCTATCCTAGGATCGGGTTGCTTGCAGATTGAGGAAAACGTGTGGCGAGAAGGAGGCCTGGTTTGCGGTCCCGCTTATGGACTTGCAGGCGTTGGGCCTAGTGTTTCACCCTTCTTTTGCCTTTACGGTTGTGACCTTTCGTCTCAGATGAGTCAGCGTGCAGTATACTACGTATTGGTCAACACACTGACGTACTGCGGGGTCGTTGTTTGGAACAGACGTTTGATGCGACTGGTGGTTGCCTATCTTTCTACAGCCTTTTCTTTGTTTGCCTTGGGAGATGGGCCTGTGCCCCTTGTCTGAGGGATGTCTCTGGCTGGATGGGTTCCCCCTGCATCCCATTCCCGAAGCGAGCCTCGTGGATTGCACTTCTTCGCTGGGTGCTTCTTCCCTGAGTCGATGAGATGACCTTTACCTTTGACAGTTGGGATCTGTGATTTCAATCCTGCCGTGCATTGTGCGCAATCACATTCTATGGCTTGCGAGAAAGGAGGCCTGGTGTGCGGTCCCTCTGATGGACTTTCAGGCGCTGGGCTTAGTGGTTCACCCCTCTTTTGCCTCTACCCCTAGGGTGATGGCCTTTTTGCTAGTGATGGATTTTCCCATTACCCTTGACACTCTGACGGCATGTGGAAAAACACAACCTAAGCGCTGTGCTGTATACCTGGCCTTCTGTCCCGCGCCCTCTGGACTGCGGATTAATTAGGGAATTGGTTTGCCTGCCGTTTCTTGGAAGCCTTTTTGTAGCATGTGATTCTCAGTTTAGTCGACCGGCAATTGCACGGGGGGAAACAAAAGGGATGATGAAGGTCGTGCTTCTCAGAGTCTGAAGTCGGCTGAACCAGAACATGAACCTAAAGCATGGTGAAGACTTTTGCTCCCGCAAGCCGGACAAGAAGCCCAGCTTGACTGGGAAGCATTGCGAAATATCCAATGTTTGGCAAGGGGAATCTGATGGAACAGGTATTGCGATTTGAAGAACTTGTGAAACAACAGGAACAAGACGAACAAGCTGCAGGGAAGCCTCTTCATGAAGGAACGAAGATTGCTGTTTTATTGGGGTCACTTCCAGTTGCGCTGAGGAAGGTTTGAACTTATGACAAACTTCGAGAAACCTTGTTGCGCTGGGAAAGTACTCAACAGAAGTGGATGGGCTATTTGGCGACTTTGATTCAATTACGGCGCCAGTTTCGATTTGGTTCTTATCAGCCACCAGTGCCAGCTATTTCATGGGCACGAAAGCCCGGGGAAGATTTTCGTGGCGGAGTCTGTCAGTGGAAGAAAGGGCAAGCACTTTCAAGTATCTTTGTTCTGAGAGCCTTAGAAGAAGCCGCGGCCCAAGGATAAATGTTCAAGCAACTATGCAAAATCGGGTACTTAAATGGGCAATGAGTGCTCCCCGTCTTACCACTCTTTCATCTCCTCTGGGGATTTCTCCAAAATAGGGGACCCTACAGAAACAGTGTTCAACCTGTTGGTTGCCCTTTAAACACCAGCTGAAACCGGGCTTCACCGTTTCAAGACACATAAACTTGTTTTTCCGACACCATGCCTCTCAGGTGGAAGGGAGCTCACGCGCGTCCCCGCTCTCAAGCTCCGGTTGAAACATCTAGCAGCAAAGGTCACGGTTTGTGGCACTTTCAGTCACTTCGAAGAGGGGAGCAAAACCAACAACCGACGCGGCAGAGTCAAAACGTTGATGTTTCAGGTGGAATTCTGCACTCACCTGTGGGTGTGACCTTTGCACATTGGGTGACTCAGCCTTCCCGTTTCGGGTTGTTTTCCAGGTGTGTTGCACCCCCAACCCTGGGGAGATGGCAAGAGGTGACCAACATTCACGCTACCATTCAAACCCAGTGCTGACAAACAACGTCCATTCCCACATTGCGGGCGGTCAGAGACTTGAGGGAGCATTGCAATTTCGCGCAATGCTCCAGGCGGGCTCGAAATGCGTAACTTGGGGCTGGGCTCGGACGTCCCAAGCCGGTTCACCCTTGGTGGGGGGCCGTAATAGCCCTCATTGTTTGGGGCAGAAAGAAGTCACCCATGCACCATACGTTTTGCACCAGGACCATTTTTTGCGACCTTCTCTAACCTGAAACCAGAAAGAAACATGCTTTGGCCACATGGTCAGGTTAGACCCACCAGATCTTTTTCTGGGCCGGGATGGCCATGGCTTTGCTAGGGTGCGACCTAAGAGTTAATTCCCTTGATTTAAGACTCTTTCTGGGGAACCTGGCAAGAAAGCTAGCCTCCTCATCGCAGGAACTCTTCCCCGAGATGATTCGCGGGATAGGATCTTTTTCGGTCTCATGCATGGCCTCTAAGACAGTTCAATTGGGATCGCATGCCCATTTTGATCAGAACCTTGTGTGAGTTGGCAGCTGGTACCCTTTGCCCCTCTGGCCCTCTGCCCGCCCTTACATTCCACCACCGGTTTGTCAGGCAATTCTGAGTATCCGCTCGCCGACTCCAAGGATGAAGTATATTTGGGATGTGTTCGGTCTTCTCTCCAGGCCTTTGATCGATGCAACGCTGGTGTTAAGGGCGGTACACCTGTGCAGCCAGAAACTCCAGAAACTCCAACCTCTGGGTCATCCCACCACCCCGGGCTTTGAGGAGACATTTGATGAGATTCCGACTTTTTGGGGATTTCCCGTCACCAAAAAGAAGTTGAAAGTTGCTAGTGCTCCGTGGCTCAGTCAGCGTTGACTCTTTGTCACGTGCCCCAAGCTGGGGTTGTTTGGAAGCGCGTTCGGTTGGTTCAGGTTTGTAACACCCGCTTGTTAAGAAGAAGCGCCTCTTTGGAGCGCAAGAAGGCTCTCTTGTTCTTGTTTGTTGGGTGGTGTCCCTTTAGAATCAGCCAGCGTTGTTTTTTTGCCTGGGAGTTCAATCCTGCTCCCCAATCCAGCTTAACCCACCATCAACCAAACCCTGACCACTGGACAAGTAGACAGCGGGGGACCCTCTTTTTCAACCCCCAACTTGTTGGAGGCATAAATAAGAAGCTAAGAATTGAAAGACTTGTTTTGGACCTGCTGGCAAGACAGGGCCCTACTGTGGATGGACGAAATTCTGCACCTAAGAAACCCTGGACTGATTCTTTTGTGAAACCAAAGATTATTTATGGTTGCCGCTGGTTTCACAGCGCAAAATGGGTATGGCTCAAATTTTAAGCGCCAGAAAAACCGCAGGTCTTAGTCCTTGGTCCCATGTACCAGGGTTCCAGTTTGGGGTTGCCCCATTTTTGACCCGCAGCGCGAACTGGATTCGGGGACGGGGCCCGGCAGTGACCTTCCGAAGGCGGTGCATGGCCGGAACTGCACGGCTCATCCGCTTGGATCTGAGAGCGGAAGTAGCGGAATGTGTCTTCTGCGGCTACCGGAAACCGTTCGGAGGGTCCCGTCGGTTTTCAGGGAAACCGTTCCCCTTTTTATGAGGGTTCCCCTATTTTGAGACAACCCAGAAGAGCCTAGATAACTAGAACCGGATTGTGGGGTAGCAGCATGGTTGCAAATATTAGGCTCTAGATAAAACGGGGGCAGAATAGTTACAACTTTTTTTGTCTTGTAGTCGTCAGGCAATTTGGTCAAATAGTGCTTGCACCTCATTTGAACTGTTTGGGCCCTTCTTGCTCATACTTTTCTTTTCCTGGTCGCAAACTCATTTAGGAGAGTACGCGACTTGGGGTCATTTTTTCCAAGGAGTATGTATGTTACTCAAAAGGGGGCCTGGCCGCTTACGCAACTTGGTACACGTATATGGTTTGCAACGAAAGGGATTTGTGGCGACAACGCTTAAACGCGGTTGACGCATGTTTGACGTTCCTTTTGCATGTGAATTTCGGCATTGCTGAATAAACCTAGACCATTCCACCCAAACAATAGCGACGCGTCGCGTCGGGCGCTTGCTGATTTAGGTCAATGCCGCATTTCCATTTAAAAAGCAATACTTGGCAGGTTGACGCAGAATATTTTTCACAAGACAGTTCCAGCAACTTTGACCTAGCGCTGTTCTTCCTCGACGGGCTTCGCCATGCCACGAGTGCTTCGTGTGAGCTTTGTGCTTTGTTCCAAACTCAAGGCTTGTGATTGAAGCAATAGAATACGACATGGGTCTGTCTGTATTTTTTGTAGGTATCCATTTTGAGGTCCGAGAGGACACCCACCATTAAGCTGTAGCAAGACACTCAGTACCGTTTGACTATTAAATAGGGATCGGTTCCAAATGCTTGGTACTCAACAGGGGGTCCCAAAAGGAAACCGAAAGCGCACGGATCAGTTTTGTTTCCTTTCTCGACTTCCTATTTTGAGCTTAGATCGTGTTCCCAGAAGGTTCTGAATTACGACTTTAGAATGGTCCTCTCCGATGGTCAAATATAAACCAGCTCATCGATTCGGGGATAGAACCAGCGAAAGCCCATGATGAAGGTCCCTCAAAAATCCCTCAAGACACTTTTCCCTGCATGGACATCGGGGGGGAGGATTGCTTGACTCGGCCCGGCTTAGGGTATCTCGCTGTCTTGGGCCCCGCCCCGGAGAATGCGGCCGGGAAGCCTGGATGCGGAGGGCATGTTGGACCTCTTGGCTTTCCGGCAGCCCCTTGTGCTTTTAGGGGACGGCAAGATGCATGCCAAAGGGAAACAATCCGGATCCTTTCCTTGTGTTGCGAAAGGGGTCCCAAATCAGGAAGGAGCATTAACAAAAACCCTGCATGTTGAACAGCCCAGTTTGTGTGACTTTCTGAGGGTGTAATCCCAGGGTGTGGTACCAAAAACTGCTTGAACAATCAGCGTTTGGGCAGACTGCTCTGTGATTGGCCTAAGAACAATGTCTCGTGTGCTGGCTGTTCTCCCACAGGAGTTGACTGGGAGGATCAGACCCTGGTCTGAACCACGATTCAGGCTGCTAGTTGTGGCTGTGCCGTTTCAGTTTCTCACTGTGTTCCAATTGACCCGCTCAGAATCAGACGCTGCTTTGGGTCACATTTGTTCAGCCATTGTGCCAGCGT